GCTCTGGTGGCCTAGTGGGTAAGGAGCTGCACTGCCTACCCAAAGGCTTACAGTTCAAATCTACTAGCTGCTTTTCAGGAGAAAGACGGGTGATCTCCTGTGCAATTTCAGTCTCTGAAAACCCTCTGGAGGGTCAGTTGTGAGTCAGTTCCAATTCAATAGCAAATAACAACATAGTGTTACGGAGAAAAGAAAGCAAACTGTCTTAGTTGTCTAGTGTTACTATAACAGAAATACAGCAATTGGGTAACTTTGTTGTTGTTGCTATGTGCTAGCGAGTTGCTTGCGACTCATAGAGACCCTATATACAACAGCTCTAAAATGTGCTGTATCCTGAGCCAACTTCATTGTCTCTGACATGCTTACCCCCATTACCCAAGTCACTGAGTCAGTCTTTAACAAACAGAAATTTGTTCTCTGACCAGTTAGGAGGCTACAAGTCTGAATTAAAAGCTCCAGCTCCAGGTGAAGTCCTTTTCTCTGTTGACTCTGGAGGAACGTCCTTGTCTCTGGTTTCTAGTTCCTTGGAGATCTATATGTGTCTGTTTTACCCCATCTTTTCTCTGCTTGCTTGTTTAAACTTTTTTCCATTTTAAGAGATTGCCTTAAGACGGACTCTACACTAATTATGTGTCATTAACATAACAAAGATAATCCATTCCCAAAGGGGTTTATGACTACAGACATGTTGTAGTTAGGTGCCATCAAGTCGGCTCCTGCCCACAGCAGTGATGATTGTCATCATGCTCACATCCACACCTGTGCTTGAGCCCATCCATGCAGCCACCACGTCAACGCATATTGTTGAGGACCTTCCTCTTTTTCACTGACCTTCTGATTTTCCAGGGACGGCCCTCACCCCATCTACAGGTTTGGATCTATAGCTCATGTTTTGGGGTGACACAGTTCAACCCATAACACAAGATAAGGAAAATAAGAATGTGGTTGCGAGGAAATGTGTATTTAATAGGATGATCAGGGAAAGTCTGCCGAGCACACAAGATCTAAATTTTGTTTTGTAGTAGTGATTCTGACTATTATGCTGGAAATAGACTGTAGGCGAACAAGGTGGAAGAAGAGAAACAGGAGGCTATCATTGTAAGATATCAGACAAGAGACCATAGTGAATATACCAGGATGATGGCAGTGGCAGCAGTGAGAAGTGATTGCATCTATAACATAGTCTAAAGGTAAGATTGACAAGATTGGCTATGGATCATAAGAGGGAAGTCAGACCTCTTGTCTTCACCAAGAGCAATAGCTGTTTGCATATACAGCACAGGATCAAGCTCTGAGTCCAGGCGCTGCTGGTTGAATTGACATCCTTCCTTGTTACAGCCAGTCTAACTTCCTTTGGGAAAGGGTGTACTCTCTCTTGTTTCAGAAGGAATATGGAGTAAGTACTATAAAAATATTATTAGTGTTCTCTTGTTCTGTTTGGACAACCGTATCTTGGTCTATAAACAGATTTTTCTCTATTTTAAATTTTAATGATATTTTAACGATAGTTTACAGAAAACGTGGATTTCCATTCATTCATTTTTGCACATTTTCCTCCCTACCTCCCACCACAGTTCACTTTTCTCTTTAAAAAAGATTCTTTCATTGTTGTATAATTTCCTTCCTCTCCTCCACTCCCAGTCCACTTTGCTATGCACCTCTTATTCTGCGCTGTTGTCATGCAAATAATACCTAATCATCTTTCTTTTAGGCTTATTGATTTAAATGCAGTGTTCATGGTTTATCTCCTCTTTTCTTAGTTTTCCCACAACCCGCATGTCAGTCTTATTTTATAATTTATAATAGTGGCATTATGAAGTATTTGTTGTCCTTTTGTGCTGAGCTATTTCACTCAGCATAATGTCCTCCAGGGTCACCCATTTTGTATAATACTTTATTAATTCATTGCTTTTCAGTGCTGCATAGTATTCCATGGTGTGAATATGCCACAGCTTCTCTATTCATTCATTTCTTGATAGACACTTGGGCTGCTTCCATCTTTTTGCTATTGTGAACAACACAGCAATAAACATAGGGTGCATATATCTGCTTGGGTGGCCATTCTAGTTTCTTTAGGGTTTATTCCCAGTAGTGGAATTGCTAGGTCATATGGTATTTCTGTTACCAACTATTTGAGAAAGCACCATACTGCCTTCTACAGTGGTTTCACCATTTTACACTCCCAGCAACAATGAATAAACGTTCCCATTTCTCTACAATCTCGCCAGCTTTTGTTGTTTGCTGCTCTGTTGAACTTCACTATTGTTACTGGGGTGAGATAATATCTCATAGTTGATTCGCATCTTTCTTTGGGCTAGGATTTTAAACATTTCTTTATGTGCTTGTTAGCCATCTGAATGTCTTCTTTGGTGAAGTGTCTGTTCATATCCTGTGCTCACTTTGGGATTGAGTTGTTTACCTTTTTCTTGTTAAGGTGCTGGAGTATTCTGTAAATTCTAGATATAAGTCCCTTATCAGACATGTCAGAACCAAATATTTTTTCCCAGTCTGTGACTTTCCTTTTTACTCTGTTGGAAAAGATTTTGGATGTGCATAGGAATTTGATTCTTAGAAGATCCTGTTCATCTATTTTATTCCTTCCTGGTTGTAGTTTTTTCAGGATGTTTGGGAGACTGTTCATGTTGTGGGTTAGGGCTTCTAGAGTTTTTACAAGCTTTTCTCTGATGAAGTTTATCATCCTTGGCTTTACTCTTAGGTCCTTGATCCACTTTAAGTTGGTTTTTGTGTATGGGATGAGGTGTGAGTCTTGAGTTTTCTACAGATGGTTTTCCAATTTTGCAACATCATCTGTTAAAGAGGCTTTCAGTTCCCCCCTAAACTGATTTCATCTCCTTGTCAAAAAATCAGTTGACCATAGATAGATGAGCTGATTTCTGGGTCCTCTATTCTATCCCATTGATCTGTGTGTATGACAAAATTATTAAAGTCAAACTATTAGGGTCTGAGTCCCACCTCTATCTATCACTAACATATAACCTCTAAGCCTCCATTTCCTTCTCTGGATAAATTAAAGTACTAAAAAAATAATTGCAGGGTTGTTGAGGATATTGAACTAGTGTATATAAATAGGTCTAGTATAGAGCCTAACACCTAGTCAGGGCTTTAATTAATACCCATGTTAAACCAGTTCCCAGTTAAAATAAGCAGACAGAAGTGTATGGAGTAAGGGTTATCTTTATTTGAATTGCAAAGTATAAATATGAACCAGGTTTGGAAATACAGGTTGTAACAGTTCAGAAATGGCACCAGAAACTTCTAGAAGGGACCAAGACAGCATACCTTTGCAGTTTTAGAAGGTGGGTGGATTTACACAAAATTTTACCCATCTCCAACCTTCTCTGTAGAAACTGGCAGGTAATCAATTACCAAGAACAGTAATCTCCAATGTTTCCTATCATTTGATAACACTTTCCTTAGACTGTCCTCTGCTGCTCTGGCCCCTGTTTGGAGTAGCACCAGAAGAATGGCAGGAGTAAGAGAAATGTCTTGACAGAGAGGAGAGTGAGCTCCTACTCTGGACCAGGAGGTCACAGTGGGAAAGGGCCAGGAAAGCTGCAGGCATGAGATCCCAACCTCTTTTGAGATTTGGGAGGAGGAGGACACAGGGAAACATGGATATCTGTTACACCTTGACATCAGCACCTTCAGCTTTCAAAATACACGGTAGACAAAATCACCTAGGCAAGACTGCAGTCCAACTCATAGAGTGGATCCAACAAAGTGAACGCCTACTTCCTGACTATATAGAACTCCCTCTGCAGCACACTATGATCATGTAAGATCTTCAGAAATGTAGACAGACAATAAATTAGTACAGATGGGTCACAGCGCCACACAGATTCATGGCAGGAGGGTGTGGCACAAGCCAGGTGATGGGGGATTCGGGGATGGAGGGCCAGGAAATTACCAAAGTAACAGTCTAGGCACTTGAAATATTATTGTTAGATTGTTAAAAACTAAATAAATTAACATACATAGAATAAAATAAATATATAATTTAAAAGGCATTTTACAAACAAACAAACAAATAAACAAAAAATAGTTGCTATTTTTCCATCTGGGCAGAAGTCCCAAAATTCAGAGTTCTTGGGCTTGTGGTATTTCACAGTTAGCTCATCAAATCCAGCGCTGGAGGGTCCAAATGTCAGAGCCCTTGGCGGCTACTTGAGTACATGGCTTCTCAATCTTTGTTGTTTTCTTCTAATCTATAAATCTTTCCTTCTTCCTTTTTTTTCCCTTTTCCTCTTTTTCCCAGTCGAAGATCCTGGAGCATATGGAATTTAACTGGCATTTTAATCCAGAATGTAAGCTTTTAAACAAATTTTGGGGATGTAAGTAGTGTTTGGTGGAGGAGAACTGGAAAGGCATGAAGGGCCCATGCATTTGCTTTCTTCTGACCCAGATCCCATCAGAAATATTCTGTTTGGCACTTGGAGGCTCTGATATTTTGGCAAAGCAATTATGGGAGGCCCCTTCCAGCAACTGGGGACAAAGGAGTCTTCATAGCTAGTTGTAAAGTTCTTCCCCTCTGAAGAGTCTGATCAACTTGTCTTTTCTCAGAGGTAGCACTCCCCAGTTGATTCCTAAAATACAAGAATACATTTAAAGCCCCAAATCTCCAAGGACAAATCTTAAACTGTGAGGTGGAAAGGTCATCTGGAAAGTGAAGGGAAGAAGGGAAAAGGGAAGGAGAAGCTGTCCTCTCAGACATCTTTCCTGAGTATGTCTCTAGTAACTTTTTTAAAAATTATTTTATTTTAATAATTTTAATGAACATTTACAGAGAGTCTCTAGTAACTTTTACAAGAAGGGAGGATGAAGACCCCACAGAATTATTCAATGTGATACTGACTCTAAGGTAATCTGCTTCCCATCTCCCAACACTTAGATAATTCATCACTCCCTGAAACAGATTCACGGAAGATAGTGATGGTTCCATGGAGTAAAGGACAAACAATTACCTTGAGTGCAGGTCTCTCCTAGTGGGAATTAGTCATGCCCAACTTCACCTTCTCTTCATTTTCCACATCGTAACCTCCTCTCCTATGATACCTGAGGAAGATGAGTTTTGTGAGCAAGCCCTATCTCCTACAACTGAGTCACAGGATACAGGTTATTCCAAGAACTCTGCTTGGTGGTTTCCTTCACTCTGAAAAAGCCTAGGGGATCGATCTATCAGGCCAACAGAGCCCGAGTCAAAGACCAACTTCCCAGAAAGATGTCTGTCTAACTGCTGGAGCTCTAATTATAAAGAATCTTCACTTCATTCACTGGATCCTCACATATCATTATGAGATAGGAAGGCAGAGATATCATCATTGAAAGAGTATAATCATCAGAAAGATGAAGTAACTTACGCCAAGTCTTCAAGCAATTAAATTGCACTGCTTGAAAACAGGCATAAGAATATTTGATTGTCCTCCAATATACAACATAATGAAAATATGGCCTGAATAACTGAAAACATGGCCTGGAGTCCAGGTGACTCAGAATTGAAAGGAAACGCCAAAGGGACCATCCATACATTGACAATCAAGCTGTACACTAGTGACATCAAAGAATACACAGAGGCAGGAAAAGAATGTCTGTGAAGAGCAGAACCTGCTGGGACCAGGAGAGTTGGGCCCTAGACTCTTAGACAATGGATCCATGACTCATGTCAGATCAAAGAAAATGGGCTTTCAGAGAACGTGTACCAGCAATATTAGTCAGACCCTCCCTACCCAGTATTTAAGGGGATAAGGGCCTCTTGTGATCACTAGCTAAAAGATCTAGGAAGAAAAGAAGTGGAGTGATTTGTAGGGTTCCCCAACACTTACCTAAACATGAGAAGGCCCACAATGACGAGTAGACAGACAGAAGACAACACCACAGCTACCACAGCCAGGATGGTTGTGTGGTCATAGGAATACAAGCGGTTTTCCACTGGGAGGCTCAGCCCATGACACCTCTCTCCATGGTAACCTGGTTGACAGCTGAATTAAGACAGAACAAGGAAGAGTTTAGGCCAGTGGTTTGGCATCTGTCTTGGCAGGGACCCTGCCAAAGCCCATTGCTCACATCCTCAGCCTATCCGTCCCTGGCTATGACCTTTGCATTTCTTCTATCTTTTTCCTTTGGTAAGACACCCTTTAAAAGCCCCTCTGAATGTTCCATGACCTTCCTCCCTTATTCCACACCCTCCCCTTTTACCATTCTCTCTGGTTCTCTGGTCTGAAACTCTTGCTCCAGGCAAGGAAAAAATGACAAGGAAAAAGGTCTCAGATAGCTATGTTCCATGTGTGAATGATTAATTACATGTGTGTAAAGACATTCTATTTAAACCATGTAAGAGGACTTGGGCACAAGAGTTGGTGGGTTGAGTGAGGGGATTCAGTATCACTCCCTATAATGGGGCCCCTCAACGCCCTGACCCAGAAATAAACCAGCCTTCCCATCAATGTTCCGGCATTCAGTCCTCTCTGCCACTACCCAGCCTATTAATAGGGCCTGTCTCTCTGCCAAGAGTCATTTTTCTCAAGTCCCTTCATTTAACTCCCAGCTCCTCCCGGAGGTAGGGCCTAACTTGGGAGCCACTGGCCTCTTGAACACTGGAGTAGCAGGCCTTTTCCCCCCACAGGATAATGCAAACCAGCCAAGAGAACATCCTCTTGCCCTGTTGGATTGACAGAGCATGCAATAATGTCAGAAACTACCCTTAGGTGCTCAGGAAATTAATCACATTGTAACAGCCTCTATGCAGTCTAATGCAAAACTTTACCATGAAGCTCTAAAGGCCTAGAAATGCCTACAATTGAATAAATATATTCACATCCTTTCCTTTATCTGATCCCCTCAAAGAGCTTTTAATGTTGCTAGAAACCCCATTTTACAGAAAGGCAGAGTTGTTTTCCCTAGATCGCATGGCAGAGCAGACACAGGGGCAGTCGCCTGAAAATGGGCTCAGATTGCTGTCCCAGGAAGTAGTGAGGAGGCCACTGGCTTCTGGTAGCCAGGGATGAATTACCCAATAATCTAGGTAAGCAGTTGTGCTTACTTACAATTCTATAGTGAACAGTTTAACAGATACTACGAAAGCTGGGCCAGTCCAGACCTGGCACCAGCAGAAGAGCTATGCATCCAAGCCCCAGCCTAAGGCAAGGCTGGAGGGTACTGTATACCTGTTTCTGTCTTTTCTCCTACCACCTCTCTCCATCTCAGCCCCTCCAAGGTGGTTTGAATACACTGCTGTTCAGGTTCATTTCTGCAACTTCCTAGCTGACTATACACATAGCACAGTACATGGCTTTTTGCTCAGCCTCTTCAGATTCATTGGCCCAGGCGAATGGGGTGAGTGAAAAAAAAAATACCCCATCTTGTCAGGAGATGGTGCAAGTTGACTCCTTAGGAAAACAACCTGTACATAGCCGTTTTCCATTTATAACACCCTATCCATATATACCAGCTCAAGTGGACTTCATAACATTCTGATAGGTAGATACAGCCCATTTTGCAGAATGAAAGGCTCAGGGAAATGATGTGGTTTGCAAAAGTTTCACTAGGAAGCAGCAGGAGGGCCAAGACTGGAAATCAGTTTTGGCCAAGTCTAAGGCCATGATTCTTTCAACTCTAAACAGTGCAAGTTACCCTAGGAAACACATTTGATGGGTTCCTGGAATGTCTGATCCTGTTCTCTGACTGTGCTATTAACGATATTAATTACTGTTAATAATCTACAACAATAATAGTTAACATTAAAGGATTGTCATTTATGCACCAGGTACTCTATGCTAATTGCTTTACTAGGATCATTTCATTTCACCTTAAAATCATGTCTATGAAGGTGTTACTATCCCCATCCCCAGCTGAAAGATGAAATTGAAGTTTAACTTCTTGACTGAAGTTGTCCAGGTGACACAGCTCGTGAATGAGTAGTGGAGCCAGGATTCAACACTACAGTCGAGATGGCTTCAGTGCCTGAGTTCTCTGGGGGAGACGCTAAGTCTGTTTTTCACTTCCAGCCTATCATTCAAACCCCACAGGTAGTTACTCAGATGATAGAAATAAAGCTTGGCCTCAGAGCACCACAATTCAGTTACATAATCTCTCCACCCCCACCCTGAGTCAAAAGGATAATAATGTAAACATCCTAATATTACCCACCTCTCCCTCCCTTTGCAGCCGACTCCTGGCTTCCCCAGGGAATTGGGGGTGGGGGTGGAGGAGGATGAGTACATTCCAAGCATCCCAGGGTAAGGGTGAGATCATGTGTCTTGCCCAGAGCCAGCTGCCCATCAAACTAGGACACGTTCCTCTTGACCATGTCTGTGACCCATTTCAGAACTTTTATTACAACAGAAGCAAGAACCCTCTAGGGTCCAGAGACATCTTCCAAACTGAGCTTCTCGTTTCTAACCCAGAAGGTGGAGGGGCATCATTTGATAGGGGGACTGAAAATACTTACATTCCTGACTGGTTCTGCTACTATTTCTAGCCAGGTGATCTTAGAAAAGTCATTTCACTTTTCCAAACTTTGACCTCCTCAAGTAATACACAAGCATAATAAACGCCTACCTTGCTAAAATATTGTGAGAATAAAGTAAGGTAATACAGGTAAAAACACCTAACAAAAGATCAATTCCCATGTATATGTGAGATATTATAGAGTCAGATTTCAGAGGGTAGTGCCCATATCCTGGAGAATGGAGTATCAAAGTCAGATGAAGCTAAAGAGAACTTGCTATTCCCAGAGGACTCTCTATCTCTATCAACATGCTTTCTTCAGCCTGTCAGTGGGGCAAGCAAAGTCCCTGACTTCTCATCCAGCTCTGAATTCTCCTCAGCCCAGCTACCCCCAGAGTTTTCCATTCAAGGATAACTTTACTGCCAATTTCTGTGTCAGCAACCAATCAAAGACCCAGGAAACTATTCCCTGAGGGGGACTTCTGCCTGATGACACAGAAGCATCTTCCTGTCAATGGTGGCTGTGGAGGGTTGGTTTAGGAAGCTGACTAGCCTCAAGCTCACCACACAAGCCTGGTCACACCCTGACTGGTGGCTGCTGGGTCTGGAGGCAGGAAGATTCATAAAGAGACTCCAGATGGCGGTGCCTAGATGTCATGCTCCCCAAACCAACTGTCCTGTGCCTTCTGCCCTGAGAAACTATGGGTAGAGGCAAGAGAAGAGAAAAAAAAAAAAAAGCCAAACCAGACAAGTAATCTATTCCTTGAAAATTCTTCCTTGCCAGAAAGGAAAAGGTAGACAGATTCTACAAATTAAATTGCTATACTTGTAAGTTAGTTTCCAGAGATGTCGAGGACAGCAGCTGCTGTCTATAAAGTCCTGCTCAGGCAGGTCAACACGCAGTGCATCCAGGAGCAGCAGGGAGTCAGGTACCTGAACCTCCATCCTGTTTCCAACCACTTACTTATCTGGCTATTGATTGCAGAGCAATCACTTCCCACTTTCTAGCTCAAGTTTCCTTATCTAACAAATGAAGACAATAAGCTCCACTGACCTAGCAAAGCAAGGCAAGCTCTGGTGGTATAGTCTATAGGAAGCTGTGCTGCTAACCCAAAAGTTACGCTTCTCCATCAGTTCAAGTGCACCAGCTAGCTCTGCGGGAGAAAGACAGGCACCCTCCTTCTGTGTGAATTATAGCCTCAGACTCCAGCTAGAGGGTCAGCTATGAGTTGGTTTTGGCTCAGTGGCAATGAGAAAGATCCATTTAGCAAAGCACTTTTGAGAATCTTAAATATACCGTGTACTGTCAAAAGAACAAACGAAACTGTCTCAAAGAAAGTGCAGACAGAAGTAGGAATGAAAAAAATAAAAAAGAGAGTAGGGATGGTGAGACTTATTAGAAGGGAGTAATCTCTGCAAAAGAGCATTATGCTCGGAAATGTGAAGGGCCAGCAAAAGAGAGAATGATCTCCAACAAGATGACTACAGAGACTACAAATTTCGTAAGCACAGCAGAGATTTATCAGGACGGCAGAGGACCTGGTAGGGTATCACTCAGTCATACATAGGGTTTCTAAGAAAGAGTACAATGGCATCCAACACCAACAAGACACTAACTGTATCATGCTGCCCTCTAAAATAGTGTCTGGCATTGAGTGGGTGCTATTGGGCTCAACTCACATTAAGCGGAAACTGCAAAGGTGTGGGGCAATGGAGAGAAGCTACCCTTACGGTTATGTTCTCTCTTCCTAAGACCACTGAGAACTGACTCTGAGCACCCTTACCTGGGTGTCCTGGGCTGAAGCAGTTTGTGGAGCCGAGCTCTCTAGAAGAGCCTTACATGAGTTCCGGAAAGCACTGGTGGCTTCACATCCATGCACCCACGCCCTGGATTATTAGTTCAGCCCAGACTACCCTCAGTTTCTACCTCCACTTTGTGCTAATGATGATGGTGTTTTACAAACTTTAAGTATTTCCTCCTTGTCCCAAGACCCTGTGAGAGATAACATAGGGATTCCCCTCCTAAGCAACTTCCAGGCAACCCTTCCAATAACCAAGGTCCTGACAAGGACGTTTTAGGTGAATCTATGAAAGTGTCCATCGGCATGGTGAGGAGTGCAGGGTCGGTCTACTAACTGTCCAAGACAAGGCAGCTCATCACCAAGCTCTGCCTGGCTGCACCCTGCAGTCTCCTGTCCTTGTCCAGAGTCTCACAGGCCACAAGGCTTCTAGCCTTGACAAGGACCTTGTGCCCAACAGAAGAGTGAATATTTGCAGCCTGACGTGGGGTGTTGGCCTCAGGCACAGTGGCGACATTATGCCCGCCAGAGAGCATGGCAGTGCCGTCATCCCTGAGGGGCTGCCAAGGCAGTCATTTGCTGGGCTTGGCCTAGCAGAGCAGCCAGAAACCCCCGGCTGTGCCGCCCACACCCCTGGGGTGATACTGCCCTCACTGGGGGCGATGCCTGCTGGGTCAGGTTCCCTTTCCTGTTAATCCTACATGAAGAAAAGTGTCTTCTCACACTTTTAGTCAAAGGTCAGTATCTTTGTCTCCTCACCTCCTGGCCCTTGTTAGGGTGAAGAGGGAGGGAGGGGGGGTGTCAGTGTCTCCCGCTCCGTATGATGATTGTTCTCCATATTGTCCAGCCATGCTTCTGAATTAGTCCATATTTCCTCACTCATGTGCACAGACTTGCTCAGCACATGGCTAATTGAACTCCTTATGTGGTTAAAGGTCTTAAGTGAGAAGGCCAGAGAAATTCCACTGCACCCAGGAATCCTATTCTGCCACGTTTCCTACTGGTTTCACCCATCCAGAGTAGGGCAGCAAATAAAAATGAAGAACTTGCCTTCAGGTGCCCCCTTTCCTAGACACGTGCTCATTTATGGACAAGCAGGAAATGTCCCCAAGGACATAAGAGCGTCACAAACCCACACCACAGGAAATTGCATCTGATGGGGGTGGGGGTATGCCCCTTCCGCTAACTAAAATAATTGCTCCTCCTCCCAACTTCCTCCCAGAGGCTGAGAAGAAACTGAGCAGAATTATTAACTTAAGGAACAGTGACAAGGAACAGCTGGCAAAAAGTTGCTGGCAAGAGTCAGCCCAAGAGAGGGAGCACTTACATGCAAGAAGGAGTCCGGAGCGCCTTCACATATTTGCATTCTCCATGGATGCAGAAATCCTTGTATTTTCGAAGACAGGGGTCTCTCTTCTTCCCTAGCCCCTTACCCTTCTTCTTTTTTTTCCCATATTCCTCCTTGCTTGGAGTGACCAGAGCTTGTGGCTTGGAGGAAAAAGCAACTGCAGGGGGAAAAAAGCACCTTGGTAAGTCTCTGACTCTCCTGGAGGTATCAGAATAGCATAGCATTTGGAGAAAATGTATCCTTTATCCCACCTGAAGTCTGAGGCCTGGGATGACCGCTTAGCTCAGTGCCTCTGAAAGGCTGAAAGGAGACAGCACAAGTACCAGAAAGCAGGTACTTCAGGAGGAAGAAGGGGCAAGGATAAGTTCCGAGGGATGAATTTTACAAACGCAGTTTAAGAACCTCATGCCGAAAACGCTAGCTTCTGTCAAGTGATCGCAGTTGAGTGAGCAATCCTACCTACTTCACCTTACCTCACTGCCCACCTTTCACCCCCATCTCCTCCACCCCCAGGTGGTTCTATTTTAACCTTAATCAGCCTCATTTCCTGATGCTTCACTCAGTGACCCACTTACAGCAAGACAGTGTCAGAGACAAGAATTACTTTTGGAAAAGGTACTTGGATGTTATACCCAAGAGATGTTCATAAAATAAGAGCAGTGTCCATGTTTGTTTGTTGGTTTGTTGTTTTGGGGTTTTTTTGTTTGTTTGTTTGTTTTTGTGGTTGTTTTTTTTTTTTTACATCTATTGGGTTCAAGATACTACGAACTCAGGGCCAGGCTCAGGAAGAGCAAGAAGACTGCCCTTGTCAATCTTTTCATTTTACTTCAAGAAAATATTTAGCCTACTCAGTGCCCTTTGCAGGCTGTCTACTTCTTTAAAATGCCCATTTGCATTTGTTCCTAATGCCCTGTTCATAGTTTTCTAGGGTGATGGCTACAATGTATATACAAGGACTAGAGAGAAAGCAAAGAACTGTCCAGAAGGAACTAAAACAATAAAGAGTCCCATTCTCCCCTTTCCTCCACTCCAACCATCCCCCTCCACCCTATCCTCCCACCTCCACCCCATCTTTCCAGGTTTCAGAGACACAGGAAAAATAACCTTATCAAGGTACTGTGTAGCTGAAACTTACACCAGCCCCCACATGTCCCTTTCTGCCCCCTGCAGAAAGAAAAGGTGCCCGCTGCCCATGGTTACAGGTATATACTTGATACATTAAACTAGAAACTTAGAAGCGTCCAACTGGAAGTAACCTCAAAGAATATAATGACCTTCCAGCTTGAAATTTAAAACAAATCTTTGGAGTTCTAAAGACAAGGTAGCCATGGTCATGCACAGTCTGGTCTCCAGGGACTCCATGGCTGATGTTCTTTCCCTTCTTGATGCTGCCTTCCCTTCTCACCTCACAAGTCTAAAGCACGTGGAATAGGGAGTGTGCCAGGAATGAGACAATGCAGAAAAATGGCATTGCATGACCCTGAAGTCAGCAGAGCTGTACTCCAATTACAGCCATGAGACTTTGGACATGTCATTTAACCTCTATGAATCTCAAATTTCTCTTTTATAATGTGTGGGCAGCAAGAGTATTTAGATGGTTGTTACAAAGATTTCATTAACCAAGATCACATGACAAGTGCACAGAATACAATAAGCCCTTAAGAAATGGTAGCAAGTATTCCTTTTTTAGGTGTTACAGGATCCTTAAACCTGAAAAATAGTCCTTGCCCTACAAAGTCAAGAAAAAAGAGGCAGGTGCCAGTAGCCACGCTTATTCTGCAGCTCCTTCAGAGTTCAAGAGGTGAGGCAGATGCTTAACGGAGCTCAGGTGAACAGAACTGTGGAAACTGAGTCAGGAGAGCCAAGCCAATAAGAGAGGTGAGAGAGAGTGGCAGGGTGACAGCCAGGTTCCTTGCAGGGACGGGGAGCAGTGAGTCAGGTCTGCAGAGGTATGAGGAGCAACTGTGTGAGTTGGGGGTGAGTCACAGCCCAGCCCTGCCCAGCCTAGGAGGAGAGAGCCAAGAGAATCCGGCCTGTTCCGGCCAGAGGTGACCCAAGAAGGCCACTGTAAGAGGGTGAGAAATGGGAACACAGGCTCAATATAAAGAGAAGACACTTGAATTATGCAAGAAGTAGAGAGATTCCCTACAACAAACTCTGAGCAGGGAAGTAGAAGGGCAGCTGAAAAGCAGGTGGGGTTAAAACAGGTGGATAACTTTCCAAATAAAGTTTTCTGGGGTTCCTGGGCTCAGTACCTGCTCCACCCTGAAAAGAATCTCTGCAGGTGGCTGGGGGCAGGGAAGCAGGTCATGCCTCTGACTCTGGACTCTGCCCCTACGCCTGTACCTGGCCACAGCCACATATATGCTGGTTGAAGGATCCCAACTGATCCTTTCCCTCTTGGAGTCTCAGGGACTAAAGGTGGTCAGGAAACACCTGGGCTTTAGAGAAGGTTTGTAGACACCCAGAAGATCTATCAACACCAGCCCAGTGGAACCATTCATAAACCTCTCCCCCTGAGGGGCCTTTCTTCATGTACCATGGCCAAGAATTAGTTCTTCATTCTCTTCTGTTGCCTTAACCTGAAGACAAGAAACTGGTACTACACACCTACTACGTTCATGGGCATCTTGACATCCATAATCTCTACTATACTAGGTTTAATAAACAATTGTCAGTGGCTTTGTGGCTTAAACTTGTGCCCATTTTTACACAGGAACTCAGGGGAAAGCATCCCAACCATTCCTTGTTCTACAGCCTAGCTGACCTCAGAGGACTGAACTGACCTCGGATGTCTGTCTCGTCTCAATCTCCCCCAAAGTACTCAAATGGGCAGGAATCCACTAGGTGAGATCCAAGAGCAAGAAAGGCAGAGAAATTTCTATTTCAGGATCACCTAGTCCCTTGTCTGGCCAACAAGCTCTTCTTGTCCTTCAAGAATATCTCCCAATTCACAAAGATGCCCAAGCAGTGTGGATCCCAGATTTTCCAACTCTCCGCCAGAGTCCGAGGATGCGCGGCCCCCACTCCTACCTCTGAAAATGTCCAGGTTTGCTTCATCCAAGTCCATCACTTTCCGTTCCTGGCCATCTCCCGGGTGCAGCAGCCGGTCTGTGGATTCGGTGGGCGGGTCCGGATTGCCGGTACCGACTGCCAGTCCTCTCCGAATTCGCTCCAGGCTTTCGCCGGTCACCAACGCTGAGAGCGCTGCCAGGAGAAGGGCGAGGCCGCATCAGACCCCCGCCCGGACCCCCGGCCACCACGCACCAAGGCCGGCGCCCGCCCATCAGGGAGCACGGGCCCCACCAAGTGGCCCATTCTGGGGGCGCTGCAGCGACCTTCTCCGGCTCCCCCAGCACAGCGCTCCCATCCCCCCGACCTCTGGAGACGTCGACAGCCTTCTTACCTGTAGCCAGAAGGAGCTTCAGCACCACAGAAGGCAGCCGCTTCATGGTCCCGGGCTCAGCAGAGGCGGCGAGGCAGCAATCACTTTGGAGGCGGAGGTCACCGGCCGCGGGCAAGAAAGCGGAGCGGGCGGGCGGAGATTCCGCCGGGTGCTGTTAGCTGCCCGCCTCCCGGTGCAGCCTTGCTCTGAGCTGCACGGTACTCGTGGGCGCTGGGCGTCTGTCTGCTCACCTTGTTGGTCCGTCCGCCCGAGCCCTGCGCCTCGGTGGGGCTGAGGACTAATGCGCCGCGCACAGCTCCCGGGGTTGACTGTGCGCTCTAGCGCGCGCGGCCGGGAATAAGGCTCGGAAGCCCCGCCCCGCCCGGCGCCCCACCCGCTCCCCCCCCCACCCCCCACTAGCTCCACGCTGGGACGCCCGCCCGGCTCCCGGCGCCGCAGCGCAGCCCCCAGCCCCGCGGGCGCGGCGGGGGAGGGGCGGCGGGGCGGGCGGCGCTCGCATATTTTGGGACCCCCGCCAGGCCTGACTGTGGGCCGAGCCTCTGACCAGCAGGTGGCGGGGACCAGTTTCTACCTTTCCCCAAATGCCAGTCGCACCATAGAGCTTTGAGATTACGGAATTGAGCTCTGTAATTGCTCCTGCCCTCTTCAGGCCTGCTCCCCCCCCCCCCACACACACACACACTGTCGTCTCTCCTCCAATGCAGGAGTAATCACACTACGCTTCAGAAGCCCACTTTTTGCCTACCAACACAATGAATAGTGACTAATAAAGAACTACACATGCGAATGCCAGCAAGTCTGAGCCTGGTGTAGCCAGAGTTGTAATTGCTGGCAGTGAACATCATTCCTGCAAAAGCAGAGGAAGTTAGCATTCATCCAGCCACTGGAGTGGCTTCCCCTCACTGTTGCCCCCGGGGGACTTAGTCTCTATGAGAATGTTTGAACCATAGATTATAACTCTCAAATTTCTGGGACTGCAGAGACTGAGGTTGTAGAACAAACCCCGAACTTTTCCTTGCTCTTGAACACCAACTTCTTTCCCAAAAGAAAAACTGAGCCTGTCTCCTACAGGACCCTGTTGACCAAAGAAAGTCCCTGTGTTCAATTGTACCAGCAGCCTTGTGTATTTCTCTTCATTCCATGGCAGCCCCAAGGCTCCTTCAGGGCTTTGCACAAAACGCAAACCCACTGTCACCAATTTAATTCTGACTCACAGTGGCCTTTCATTGAGTTTCTAAGGCTGTAGAACTTAATGAGGGAGCTCTGGTGGCCTGATGGTAAGGAAATGCGCTGCCTACTCAGAAAGGCACAATGTTAGAATACACCAGCTGCTCTGCAGGAAAAAGATGGGCAATCTCCTCCCTTGCCATTCACACAGCCTCTGAAAACCCTCTGGCGTGTCAGCAATGGATCTTTCCCTATTCAAAGGCACATAACAACAAATCAGTCTCAGAAGAGACTGCCCATTTCTCTCCTTCAAAGAAATTGTTATTTTGACTTGAATCACACAAACAAATCTGTCCTCAACCCGATTGATTGCTCTTCAGTTGAAAGGATAGTGAAACTTCTTCTCATGTCCTCTGGGCGTGTTAGCAGAAGGGGTCAGTCCTTGGAAAAAAAAAAGGTATCAGATGGGCAAAAGAGAGGAAGACCTTCAACAAGATGGATTGGCACAGTGACTGTCACGAAGGTTTTGAGCATGGCGGAGATTTTGAGGGTGCAACAGCACAGGGCAAGGTTTCCATCTGTTCTTTATAGGGTTGTTATGGGTTGCTTGGTTCAGCCTGTGAAAGGTGATAAAATCATTCCTGACATTCATCCACAGTCTCTTCCACAGCCTTTCTCCTTATTCCTAGTTTTCCGAGGTCAGTCTGGCTCTTCTTGCTTCAACAACCATCCCCATCCCTAGCTTTTCATAGGAATCACTGCAGACCTGAATTTGAATCCTGTCTTTACCACTTACTGTGTGGCCTTGGACAAATCTGACTAAGCTTCAGTTTTCATGAGTCTCAAATGGAAATAGCAATAATAGTTATGCCTATTTATCACTGAGGACTAAAGAAGAGAACAAATATAAAGCAGTCAGTACAGTGCCAGCATACTATAAACTCTCAAGATGTGTGGTCTATTATTAAACATTCTACCTTGACCACTTCATTTTCTTAGAAGTCCCTACTCTAGGCTGAGCCCCCCTTCTTTTCCTTTCCTTGGACCCCTTGCCTGCTCTTAGGGTGAATCTGATGCTCCTTGGTGCTAGCTCAGGTGGAAGCTCAACTGTCACCTAATTGGCCACATGCCACTGTGAGATTAATCCTTCAGGTTATCAGCACAGGACTTCAGCATATGGTCATTGCCTAGGCCACTCCTTGTGCTCCTTCAGCAGCTGCTATTTAACTACCTGCCTCCCCAAAATTAAGTCACCTTGGGGTAAGCTCCAACCCTCCAGGGAAGGGTGGAGCGAAACATTTCCTGACACATAGCCAAAATACCCTCCCCATCAGGTTCACACCCTGCTCTCCTGTCCCAACCTGCCTCTCCCTAGAATCCTCTGTCCTTCCGCCTTCTCACCCCCACATCAGCCTCAGACCCATTCATGGGGCAACTCCAAGCTTTCATCACACCTAGAGGCCTCACCCCAGCCAGCTTTATATGTGTCAGCCAGGGTTTATGTGAAGGGACTGGCAAAAGAAAATAAAAGGCCTGGATATGAGAAGGTCCCTGTGCCTCTTAGAATCTTGCATACCTTCTGACTAGAAAAAACAATGACAATTTATGGGCAAACAAATTTATGCCACAACATTCACTGACCTCATTGGGAATACAGTAGTAAACAAGACAGCCAAATTCCTGCTTAGTTGGAACTTATATTCTACATTGTCGATGGCAAGGGAGGCAGGCAACACATGAAATGAAAAAACAAGGAGAAACCATATCCCATAATGATACTCACTGCTTCCAAGTCAATCCCTCCATGGTACTGCTGAGTGAGGTCAAGTCACCAGCCTGCAGGTGTCAAGCACTTAATCATTTATGCCACCCAGAGACTGACAGAAATGCTAAAATTAAAATTGTCTGATGAATTATGAGATGATATGTCCTAGAACCTGGGATGACACTTGAGATGTGGCAATTGATTAGCAAAGCCCTCCCTTACAGATGACATATAAACTGGGGCCTGAGTTACAAGGAGAAACCAGCCTTGTGATGATGATCCATGGCAAAAGCATTCTACACTGTGCAAACAGCGCAAAGCCTCTGTGAGAACAAGATGTGGGAACCGACAGGTAACTCAGCTTGCCTTGAATGTCTACTAAACATGAGCAAACTGATGCGAACTAGGGTCACCAGTGAGTCAGAAGGGGTCAAGCCCAGAGCAGAAACCCCAGAATCCGTTTACCAGCCCTGTTCTGGGTTCCCAGGTTTCTGGAAAAGCAAGCTCCGTGGAGTTCTGAGAGCTGTCACCTTACTGTGAGGCCACAGGGTAGAATTCTTGATTTGGAGAGGTGATTAGGGAGGAGCTGGGGGGAAAAGTGCTGGTAGTGAAAAGAAAAAAAAACCAAACCAGGGGATTTGGAGAAAAGCCACCCTGTCTCTCCTTCCCAGTGTAGCTGAAACATCTGCAGTGATAAATTGGTTCTCACAAGTCTGGATGTCTATTAGAATTACCTGGGAATTGGTTAATTATGAAGAAGTCCAGGCCCTATCCTATGCCTTAATCAAAACTTTCTCGGGTGGGCCTTGAGCATCTGTTCTTTGGGCAGGTAATTCTGATTATCAAATGGGTCGAGACACCACTTAGTCTGTGCAATTACTTGCTATGCATCAAAAAGCTGGACAATGACTAGGGATGATAGAAGGAGAATTGATGCCTTTGAGCTGTGGTATTGGAGAAGAGTATTGAATATACCATGGACTGCTAAGAAAACAAACAGTTTCATCCTGGAGAGGGTAAGACCAGGCTTTTCATTGGCCTCTAAAGCTTTGTCTAACATACTTTGCGTATGTTGCAAGGAGGAACCAGTCCTTGGAGAGGGACATCATGCTTAGGAGGGTGAAAGGACAACACAAGAGAGGAATACCCTCGATGAGATGGATTGATGCAGTGACTCGGGTTATGGGGGTAGGTATGTCAAAGATATTAAGATTGGCACAGGATAGAGCAGGGTTTCGGGTTGTTATACATAGGGTCGCTATGAGTCGCAGGCAACTCAACAGCACATAACAACAACCAAAAAAAAACACAGAACTGACCCATAGCTGACCCTCTAGCAGGTTTTCAGAGGCAGTTAATCACACGGGAGGAGATTGTCCATCCTTCTCCCACAGAGCAGCCAGTGGCCTCAGGGATTCAAGTGAAGCTTCTTGCCACTAGGCCACCAGAACTCCTTATTCAAAACCTACACTTGGAGGAAGGAGCCATCAGAACAGAGCAAGGAAACATTGCATGGTTCAAAACTGGGAAGGGTATATGCCAGGGATGTGTCCTATCTACATACCTTTTCAATCTATGTGCAGAACAGATTATCTGGGAGGCCGGGCTATATGAAGAATAATGTTGGAGGAAGACTCATCAGCAATCTGTTATGCAGATGACACAATCATACTTGCTAAAACTGAGAAGGACCTGAAGCACTTGCTGCAGAAGGTCAAGGACTGCAGCCCTCAATACAGATTAAAGCTCAATATCAAGAAAACAAAGATTCTCACCACTGGACCAATTGGCAGCATCATGATAGATGATGAAGAGGTTGAGATTGTTAACAGCTTGCTTGGCTCCACAATCAACACTCCCAGCAACCAGGAAATTAAAAGACAAACTGCATTGGGAAAGTCTGATGTCAGAGACCTCTCCAAAGTTCTGAAGAACAATGATGTCTGTTTGGAGACTAAGATAAGCCTGATTCAGGCCATGGTCTTTGCAATCACTTTCCATGCATCAGAAAGTTGGACAATGACTAAGGATGATAGAATGAGAATTGATGCCTTTGAACTTTGGTTTTGGAGAAGAGTATTGAATATACTATGGACGGCTAGGAGAACAAACAG